CACACACACACACACACACACCACCAAATAAGGGAGGGGAGCAGCCAATCCATCTCCCCAGGTGATAAAAGTTAAATACAGCCCATGAGTGGAGACATGCCTGCAGGGGGACTTGGTGAAATGGGCGTCCACTATTGTCTCTGTCAGCTTAAGTCTGTATCAGGGGAGGATGAACGACTGGGATGATAAGTGGGTATTTATTTGGTGGTGACTGCGGTCTAATTCAAGACAGACGAGTGATGAATGGCTGCAGATAGTCAAACAGTCTCTGGAGACTAAAGAACATGATGTCTCCGTCTCTCTGGGATCAGGGCGGATTATGATACATTTTATATGCTGTGCTGCACAGAGACGTCACTCTGAGTAAATTCACATGTTAATCTAGAGTGGAACTCAGTAGACCCAACAGCCCCCTTAAATTCCACACTACAGTCTGTCTTATTTGCTTGGATATAGTGATAAAACTATCAGAGATGTATTTTAACAGTTGATTCCCTGCTGAAACCACAAGATCTCAGCTTCACAATGGTCATGGTTACAGGTTTGTAGCCCTGTTTGTTACTTTACAATGGCCAATGAAACCAAATTTCACATACTAATAGATATCAGATCCCTGAAAAGCCCTTATTTCATGGGAAATCAGTAAAAATGTCCAGGAAAAGTCCCTCGATGTGCCGTGCAGGAATCCTTTGGGTTCTTTCTTGGGTCAAAAGGCTGATAAGTTGTGACATGTGATTTCTGTTTCTGGGTAGAAGCTCTGGTATTTTCAAGATGCTGCAGTTCTGTGTCCCTGTTCTATGACTGTGGATCTCAGACGGTGGAACAGATCAAACGTGACAGAAACAAAGGATGCAGGTGTATGCGGACATTAGCTAGAGAGACTCAGTTGGGCAGCCCAGAAGCAATAACTGTGTGAAGAGTGAAATGAAGTTGATTAAATAAATTGAGTCGGCAACTAATTTTCTCCCTTTTTTAATCCTATGGCTCATTAAATAAGATACGATTGTGAGTAAAATCACAGGTTCTGCCATTGTGGTCTGGACCCGGATACGGTGATGACCTCCCGTCCCTCCATCCATCCAATACATTCAGTAGTTTTTGCATAATCCTGCTGAAAACAAATGGACAGGTGAGAATATAACTTCCTTGAGGTAATCTCAAAGTGTTCCAGACTCTAAGAGGTCAGAGGGAATGTTGGGTTCTTGAGAGGGTGATTGTAATATTACAATAAAATCACTTGATGCAGGACAGGAAGGTGAGAACCAGACGAGAGGCTGAGAAGTACAACTGACAATCTGGCAGGGGGAGTGGAAACGGACCAGTATAAATACTGAGAGGTGATCAGGGAATAGTTTAGTATGTGATTTATTTAGTAATAATGATGAGGTGGTTAGGGAATGAATGAACTGTGACAATCAATCAATTTTGTGAAATTCTGAATTTTTTTCTTTAATCAATCACAACTTTATGGTCGAAATCCTAGAATTTTTTGTTTCTTGCATTACTGACAGTCAGATCAACACCAAGTTAGAAACTCACTGATTGTCACACTCTTTTCCAGTGTCCAAACACTTGTTTCTCTTTGTCCGATACTGAATTGGCATCTGTGATCCTGTTACGTCTCTTCCCAGAAAGTTTTGTTCATGACAGTCTGCCTGTTGGACGAGGGCCAGAATCCGATGATCTTGTTTGTTGACTCTGCAAACAGCCACGAATACTTCCAGAAACCCGAGGTGGTGGCAGTATCACTTTACACACCGACACGACACCCTGCACGTCAGGTACATGTGGGATATGTAACCAGTCATGGGAGAACTGTGGCACAACAATATCCAGCCTCTGAATCATGGTTGTGGTGAAGGAGCTTTGGAAAAGACACAAAACAATAATGCATACGTGCGTGTGTGTGTTCACCGAGATGAATTATATGCAGGTAGTGAAAACACCATGCAGGTTCTGTGGTGTTTTTAAGCAGCACATGCAGACAGACAGGGTATTTATAGAAAGCATGACACTGTCGGAAGTGATGGAGCAGGGGACGGGAACAAAGACGCTGACGAGGTGATTTATTGAAGGATAAATGAGAAACCATTCTCTTTCAACAAAATCCTTTCGAATGTACTTGGTGTGCAGATTCCCACATTGTATTAAAAAGCTTTTTGTTGTTATCTGTTGTTTATGAATGTGTAAATGTTTAGTGTGTCTATAAAGTGTAATGACAAATATTTGTGTAGTATTTTGTTTATTAAAGGGACATGTCACCATTTTTACATCAGTTTATTCATGGTTAGTGAAAACAATGGCAACTAAAAAGCATCAGATGTGTGTGGGCACAATGTGTATGTATACTACAATATATATTATATACTACTGTATATTTATTCCACTATAGTTTAATGGTGATATACATTCTTCATACAAAGATCTCTAAATTAGAGTTTTGGGCTGTTGTGTCAATGCAGAGCTGTGTGTCTCTCTCTCCTCTACTCTCAGACTGACCAACGGCAGCAACAGGAGAAATCCCACCTGTTCTAATGGCCCGCTAAAACAGCAGCTTCACAACAGCTTCACAGCAGCCCTGCTCTGTTGGAGCACACACATGAGCACACACACACAACCAATCGTCTCCAAAAATGAATCATCTGGAGATATCGTCCCAAATAATATTCCCCTATTGGTCGGTGAAAATCCGTTCATGCTTTGAGTTATTCTGTTCAAATACAGACAAAGAGAGAGACAGGGTGAAAACAACATCCTGCTTCTGACTCCACGGATGTGCAGATAATGTCATCAGGGTTATTTTTGAATTTCACCTTTCAGACACGTTCACAACAAAGGGTGTGTGGCATCTGGGTAGAGCGTGCAGGAGGCAGGACATGACATTTTGTTGCAGATATCATGTTTTTGTTTACAACATGTCAATGCGCCCACTTGCTCATTGTGAATTTCCTGGACATTTCACTGCTGGATTGTCACATGGGTTCACTCTGACGTGTGGAAAATGTCTGAAGCAACATTAGTGAGACATAAACATGCACACTCAGGCTAACATCTACGGGCCGTTGGTAGACACCAGTATACCCGACCTGCAGGAGTTTGACATGTGGGAGGAAACAAGGTAACCCTGCAGACACAGAGACAACATGCAGACACCACACAGCAAACAGTGACTCAGCACTGACCCGGCACAGTGACAGTGCTGAGTAATAAACACATTTTCACATTTTAATGAACTGAGCTCAGATTAATCCTGAACCCTTTTGCTGTGAGGTGAAGGCACTCAACGCTTCACCCCTGTGCCGCCCCCAGAGCACATGCAGACACATTAACTTACACATTAATACTCACATTAATTATTTAAAAAAGTGGTTTGTGATATTCTGCAGATATTCAGTTTAAGTATCTCAGCCTTATTCAACCTCAGACCTTAGACGAATCAGAGATGAGTCATCATCAGGCTACCGTGCAGTACAATAGTTTACACAGTTACTCAGTGTGCAAGGTAAACTTTGCACTGAGATCCAGGCATTAAGGCTTTTTTAATATAAATTCACAACAGGTGTAGGAGGACAAACCATGTCACCTTGTTTGGACGTTTGAATTAAACCACCCCACATCTAAGAAATGGCACAGGTCCGAAGTGAAATCACTGCAACACTCATCCACATCCAAATTATACACAGCTAATAAAAGTTGTGAAAAAATCCGATTGGTGGTGTCTGAGGAAGATGTCAAAATGGATTCTTGATCCATGGATTATTCCCAAATGTTACAGAACAGCACACTTAAAACACAAAGCTAGTTTACAAATGTCTAAAAAGCAGCTCATGAGCAAAGAGAAACTGATGTTTAAGCTCTTTAAATTGATTTGATTGATTACTTGATTGTTATTTCTAATCGCTCTCCTTCGCTGCCACCTGGAGCAGAGGAGCTATATTAATACTATAATATGAAGTGAAGGCCAAACAATGCGAGCAGTCATCATGTCTCCTCTTAAAACACAGATCCTTTCCCCTCCAGTGTTTTCCTTAAAATTACTCAGCCCGACTATAATTTCCTCTGAGTGCCCTGAAATATCGGAGGTCCCTGCCTTAAGAAGTCCATTATAAACTTGAGAGAGAATAAACTGAACTCTCTCTGTGTTTAGCACGATGAACGGATATGAAATATTTCTTCAGGTCTCATGGGAATGAGCTGAAAAGAGCTGAAGACACTGGGAGGAGTCATGAGGGAACTCGAGCCAAGTTAATGTGTTTTCTTTTTCAGTGTTTATAGAAGCAGCGAGATTGAATTAAGCAGCGGGTGATGAGAGAGGACATTAATAGTAAATTCATTTCAGTAGGGTGAGCTAATATATGGGCTTAATGCGAATCGGACGTTATATGTGAGAATAAAGCTTTTAAACTGTCCAATAATGTCTGGACATATAAAAATACACAATGAAGTGAAGAACGAAAACATTTATTAGCCTCACAAAAAGGACATTTAGCTTTTTGCTTCTGGTTAAGGTGGATGAGATCTGAATTGTGGTTAGTGTTAGGTAGAACTGGTGGCTGGCTGCAGTATAAGTCCTTAACCCCGCCTCCTTTAAATTAGCAGATGGGATGAGATTTTTGTATTTGATGCTGTAAAAAAAGGTCAAATGTAATGATTGACAGCAGAGTCGAGAACATGCGTCATTACGGCCCTGAAAGGCTCCACGCTACGATCTCCACTGCGCAGACTGTGATGCCAACTGACGTCAAAAACAAAACATGGCGTCTTCCGTCTCTTGATTAGCTTAGCGTCTTCTTTATATATTTTTTGAGGGGACAGTTTGCTGTTTTATTAGTATTAGTGTGAAATGTGGGAAGACGCGCGGCAGCATCGAACCTGCGGCCGCTGCAATGGTGCTCAACCCAGCATATGGGGGGGGGGGGGGTTCTGTGCTACCATTGGGTACAGTAGAGGAGGAAGTGGAGACCTATGGTTGGAACTCAGCAGACTAGAAACTCATCGCATTAGTGTGAGCCCATAGTGTATTGTGAAACCCAAAATAAGCACCTGCAGATTTATGAAGTAAAAGTAAAAAGAGAGCGAATGAGAGAAGTTAAAGGTCACACATACTGTTATCACCAGTTAGACCCCTGACCATGAGCATATAGCTTGGATATGTGTGTGTGTGTGTGTGTGTGTGTGTGTGTGTGTGTGTGTGTGTGTGTGTGTGTGTGTGTGTGTGTGTGTGGGTGCGCTCACACTCCCCTGCCTTTACTGCCCTGCTCTGCAGCTGGAAGACTGGGGGGGGGGTAAAGGCATTGTTTTATATGTTAACACAGTCTATCCCCACTGAGGTAAAAATAGTTCCCGGCTCTATTCTCTCGCAGCAGAGCCAGCGATCGCTCAGCCAAAAACAATATTTGGACATGGCAGCAGATGTCCCCAAACAAGCCCAGTAGGACAGGCCTGCGAGGGGAACTTTTGGCATCGGCTGACTCCAGGGAGAGGAGCGAATGAGCGGGAAACAATGTGGTTTATGAGGGCACTCGGGAGAGAGCATGAGGGCCGGCTTGTATCTCGGCTCGAGACACTCAACGGGAGGCTCGGATTTATAGATGATGAAGGACCTGCCTCTTTAAATGAAGCGGGGGATAGTTCACGGGGTTCGCCTGCTTATTCCTGGCCATGTGCGTTTGCACTTTTTCTTTGATTTGGGAGCTGAGAGAGAGAGAGAGAGAGAGAGGTCTCCCGTGCTTTCTTTGGTTTTATGTGATGTGATTTCTGCACACTGGGACAGAAAATGAGCACAAATTATTGCTTTTTCAGACAGATCGCTCGGATTTCCCAGGTGGTGAATTCCGTCACTGCCTCTTTGCTGCTCATCTGTCTGTCTTCCTAAGACCTGCATTCACAATTGTGTTTCTTTGAAAGATCTTTGAACGAAGCCACTTTACGCTCCACAGACTGCATCGAAAAAAACGTAAAGCCAACCTCGTGAATCTGACGAGTAAATCACTTTCATACACATGGAAAGTATTGTCAATTATACACATACTGCCCCCATTCAAACTACACATGATCCAAGTTTTGGCAAAGTGAAACCCACCCTCTGAAAACACTGATGGATGCTTTCAAGATTTAAAATGCATCTTCACAGTGTCTTCATTTTGTTTATTAGAGAACAGTAAGCTGTCTCAGTCACTTTCCTGTTTCAGTTAACTCATGCAGCATCCATCTCTGCTGATCTACTGCAGCTGCTGAACTCCTGAGAGACTCAAACATGACTCTGCACTTTGTCAGTGCTGAGGAATAAACAGATTTCCACAGTAAGTGATGAACTGAGACCAGATCAAACCATGTTTTTATTGAGGTTATATGTGATTCTGTTGTGTGGGATGGTCATTTTTATCTTATTTCTATCTCTGAACTTTCTCACAGCAGAGAGCGACATGATGAAATCTCTTTAAGTCTTTACAATTAGGTAGTGGGGCAGCATGGAATGTAGTAAACCAACCTAAACCGAGTTACAGTTGTACATATTCTTTTTCTGATTTTCTGCAACTATCTAGATATCGTTGTGTCAGAAGGAAACAGTGACTTTTGCCATTTGTCTTTGACATTTTGAATGAATCTTAATTGATGCTTGAAGTATATGTTCAGTTGGATTTTATTGCATCAAGGTGGTGCTACAATTTTCTACTTAATGCAAAGTTAGAATTTAGTAGGACCATACGATTCACAGAGTCTGGTTGTAGTTAGGTTTAAGATTGACATACGATGTGCAATTTCAGAAATAATGTTAAATTAAAAGCAGGAAACATTGAACTGGCAGGTACACTGTTGCTGCAGCTCGACCAGCCTGGCCTCTTTGTTATCGTCTCCATGTGT